GGGTTCAGAGGTTGGGGGCATGTAGCGGTTCAGGTGGGTTTCGGGTTTACGCCGTAGGTGTTCGGATGTTGTTCAGGCTGTGGTGGATGTCTGCCATGCCGTCTATCAGGCCAGGAGTGGGTTGTCACAAGGCAAAGACCCTGGAACCCTAAACCCTGGAACCCCAAACCCCAAACCCCAAACCCCAAACCCCAAACCCTGAACCCTGAACCCTGAACCCTAAACCCTAAACCCTGTATTTTATATTCGGACCTCCTTGCCACTTTTGCCTTCATGTATGTTGCACCTATCGCACTCAAGCCCTCTGAGACAAAAGGTAGAAGTGCGCCTGTGTTTCATGGCTTAACGGATTGCATTGGTGGATTTCCCAAACTATAGGTTATCAGCCGTAGGCTCTACTGAGTCTGCGGCGCCTCTGGTTACTCTGGCAAACACTGGTGTATGGGAGACAGCCCCGAGCTGGTTCCCACCGAAGTGGCAACCGACCTGGAATCTGACGACATGCTTCCTGTGGGACTACCTCAGACTGCTTCTGAGCAAGTTGCTACGAACGGTGCACTGGAAGAGGGCGCAGCAAGCACTAATGTGTTTGAGCCAAACGCCCGAACTCCTTTTGCGGCCGTACCGTTCGCACCACAGTTGCACATGTATCGACAGAATTTCCAGCAAAACATCATGGTCGGTGAGTCTCCGGAACAAACCAGATCGCTTCTCGGTGAACTTGAAATTGAAGCAGAAAACAGACACCAGAGGTTCCGCCAGGCTGCCGAATATGCTCATGATCAAAGAATCGCTAATGTTGAAGAACGAGCAAATCGACAGCATGAGGAGATCGTTGCACAGCTCGAATCCGAGATTGCCACACAACGATATCAGTTTATCGAAGCCAATCATCATCTCGTGTCAGAGCTGCGACAACAACACCAAGTCATCGCTTTCCAAACGGAACATTTTTCCAGCGTTAGTTCGCAGATCACGCAACTTCGAACAACTTTAATCGAAGAAGCAGAGGAGAACAAAACACAAACCCTCAATGAGGTGGGAGAGTGGTTTGGTAGGGAACATGACCAAGCAATGCAGCAGTATAGGTTGCTTGCCCGCGAGAGTGAAGAGGAAATGAGGCGTCAAAATGATGTTCTTCAGGACGAACTCTCCTCAGCTGAGCGTGCGCTCAAACTCGAGCAGGACAGGAATGCTTCTCAGGACACTGCGTCCCAAGCTCAGTTCCCTCCGGCCGTGACCCCAGCAACGGTACCGCAAAGTGCCGGCCTCAATGTGCCGACAGCTCCTCAGTTTTCATCGCCAAGCGTGATCCCGCTCAGCCTAAGAGCAATGTTTTCCGGTTTTGGTGGTGCGGCAACTACTGCCACACCAGCGGGGCCACAAGCTCCAACACAAGCCCCGGGAACCCCTGTGCCCCCGACTGGCTTAGGCGGAGGAGTGTCTGGTCTCGCGGCCCCAATGGGCACGCCGGCTAGTCCGGCAGCCACTGGAGTTGATTTAATCGCACAGACGCAACAAGCGTTGCTGGAAGCCGCCAAACTCCTCAAGGGAGATAAAGGCGGCGAAGATGACAAGCCAAAGGTCAAAGAGGCTGAGAACATCCGTTTGCCGGACTTCCCCAACCCCGAAACGTATCGTGCGTGGAAAACAGCAACTCGGGAAGCGGTTAGGGCAGCCTCAGACAGACCAGACGAAGCTTTCTCTTGGATTTTAGAGGTTTACGCGAAGGATGCTGATCATGACAAGCTCCGTGAACCAGGAAAGTTCCTCACGCTGGATACCAAAATCCTAGCCGCGCTTACCAAGGTCGCCAAGGGAGAGTTATCTCGACAGGTGCTCACCTTCAAGGAAACCGAGGCGGTCCATGGACGTGCGGTACGAGGACGCCAGGTGTTGCTTATGTTTGATCAGTACTTCAAAACCAATGAAGAAGTAGGGTCGCTCTATTCAGTAGAAGACCTTTTGAAGGTTACACTGCATAGTGACGACTTGACTACATTCCTGCACAACTGGGAGTCAGTCATTGCCGGTATGAGTCATGTTCCAGAAGAAATGGTTCTGCGTGACATCCTTCTCCGCCAGATCCGCAAGTCCTCAAGGATGAAATACGACTTGGAGATCTATGATAGGGCCAAGGAAGGTTCTGCCTCACATTCCTACGCGTTCTTGTTGAAGTCCATTCGGGATTTGCTAACCCGTGAAAGGATGCGCAAGAATAGGGATAGAATCGCTAAGTCACATGGGGACAAGTTTGGAGCTCCTGTTCTTGAAGGCGGAAGGCCGCAACGCCCTCCGTCAAGGAGTGGCCGGGGAAGAGATCGCTCTGCCGGTAGCCAATCCAACTCGAAGTCAAGATCTCGCTCTAGGACCCCGTCCAGGTCTAGATCACCTAGCCGTTCACCAAGCCCAAAGCCAGTTTGCTACGACTTTCAAAAGGGTAAGTGTACCAGGGGCGACAAGTGCAAGTTCTCGCACAAACCACGCTCGCAGTCCCCTGTTCGCACCGCCCCGAAGAAAAAGCAGGTATGCACGTTTTGGAAGAAAGGCAAATGTACCAGGGGAGACAAGTGCCGTTTCTTGCATAGGGAACCGAGCCCCGCTCCCACAGGTGGTGAAAACGCAGCCCCGGCTCCTAAGGACCCAGACAAACCTAGGTCTCCATCGCCTGCGCCAATGCGCAGAAAGCCAAGCCGTGGTCGCTCTAAGGAGAAGGACAGGAGAGCCGCATGCTGCATCTCGATTGCGGCTGCAGCCTCAATCCGTCCCGAGGGAGATGACCCACAAGATGGAGAGAAGGACTACTGGGAAGTGGATTTCAAAAGGGGTGAAGCCATTCGACATCACCTGAACTACAGAAGTACTATGTACAAGCCTGAAATGTCATGCCCTGTTGCTCTTGAAAAGTTGAAAGGTACGGCCAAGGTGATCAAGACTCTTCCCGTTGCTCCCTACATTGCAAAGGTGAGTTGGGATTGGAAAGGGGGAAAAGGGGGGACGAACGACAAGACGCCATGGACTGGCAAGACTGTGTTCAAAATCAAAGAACAAAACAAGAAGGTCAAGTTTTGTGAAAAGCCCAAAGTCAGGGAAATCCCTTTTGAAGGGAAGGGGTACAAGCATTCCTACAAAGTTCGCAGGTACAACACTTGCTATGCCGATGCGGAAAATTGCCCCAAACCTGACAACAATGACCTTCAGGTTGCAATTAGGAACGCAAGGGAACTCACTATGCTCCTTGCCCGGCATGAGGGGGGAGAGAGAACCGACTGCCGTTTAGAATGTGATGAGCCTGATTCTCTCATGTGTGGGATGTGCAAGCACGTCGTTGAGAGCTCAGAGATCGCCTGTCCAGGAATCGCCACGCCCTTAGAATTCCTTGCTGATACGGGGAGCGAGGAGGACCTCATCAGCGAAGCTGATCGTGCTATGTACTTTGGCGAAGAGCCGATAGGCAATGCTACTCGACAAGTAAACCTCATCACTGCTAACGGAAATGTCAAGGGTGACAAATCGGTCAGGATCGACTTCCCGGAGTTTGGCAACGAGCTAGAGTTCTACGTTCTCGCAAGTACTCCTCCTGTTTGCTCTGTTGGAAGAAGGTGCATGGAGGACGGTTATGAGTTCCATTGGTACCCCAAAAAGCCGCCTTACTTCGTTGCGCCCAATGGTCAAAGACTAAGGTGTAGAATGAGAGGTATGGTGCCTGTCCTTGGGGGAGGAGCAATGGCCGCCCCAAGTACCAACGAAGAAGCCTCAGGATCTCTCGGACGGCCAATTCTGTCCGAGGGTTTTCAGAAATCTGCCGCCCAATAGGGCCGGCCGAGGCTTTCGCAGGAGCAGCAGAGGACCGAGATCCAGTGGTCGAGCACCCCGATCCTGAGATCTCAGCAGCCATCAATGAGGTGCCGCCAATAGACATTCCCAAAGAAAAGCTCAAAAGACCAGGTTGGGTTTCGCACCCAAATACTAAGTACTTGATTGTCGGACACAAACCAAAGACGTTTCGTACTGCCACACCAAGGTTTCCAAGATGCGAAGTCAGATCTACTTGGTTGTTCAGGGAAGGTTCTTGGGTCAAGGTTGAGGATAAAGTGAACGTCAGGGAGCTTGACAACAAAGTTGCCCGACTGGAGGGTAACCCAATCCTGAGCCTCACTATCTTCGAAGACCCCGATGTTGAACCCGACAGTGACAACGAAGGAAACGCCCGCAGTCTTGCAGAGGCCGATCTGAAAGCTGAAGCCAAATCTGTTGAGCACTTGTTCTCGCACAGGCCCAAGAATCCGTTCTGCGAGGTATGCCAGCGCGCAAAGATGTTGGCTCCCCAAGCCCGCAAAAATGGGGGCTCAAGTACCATTGTATCAAAGGCCTTTGGGGACCACATCACTGTTGACCATATCATCACTCGTGACCTTCGTGATCATGGGTTCCAGGACGAAAGGGTCGCACTTGTTGTTAAGGACGTGTTCACCAAATTTCGTTACGTCTACCCCTCTCCGACTAAGTCAAGCGATCAGTGTTATGAAGACCTTCTTCATTTCCTAGGTCAAGAAGACACAGTTGGGGTTTTCTACTCCGACAACGCACCTGAGCTTCATGCAGCTATCAAAAGCCTGGGTGTTCGACATGTTACATCCCGTGAATATGTGGACACCAACAAGTCGGTAATCGAAAGAGAAATTCGGACGATTTTGGAGGGTACCCGCTCCAACCTTGTTCAGGCGGGTCTCCCCGACAAGCTTTGGCCGTTGGCCGCCCAACACCATGCTATGGCCCTTAACGCCACAAAGAGGTTTGACAATGGAATTGTTCCCTGGGAGGCCAGGTATGGGGAACCCTTTTTAGGGTTAATGATTCCTTTTGGTGCACGTGTGTTGTACTGGAACAACCCCAAACAGAACATTCCTGCGGACTCTAAGTTTGCGCCGACTGGTGTTGAGGGAATCTTTCTTGGTTATCACGTTCAGCCTGGCTTCATTTGGAAGGAGGAATATCTT